TACAATGATGATATGTCCGTCAACGAAGAAGATGCTCAATGTGCCCGTCAGCTTTCTGCTTGCAGTTCAGAAATCGCCTGAGGCAATAAGCTATAACATTTTGCAAAAAATTCCGTATTGATGGTCCGACATTCGTGGACAATACTGCTTTTCAGTTGTTCCAGTGAAATAGGCGTTTCCTTGTAAGCGGTTCTTTTCAAATAAGTCCATAGGGAGGAATGTGAGGTGCTCAAATCTGGTGACCGCGCTGGCCGATCCTTTGGACCTCCGCGACCGATCCACCGGTGACCGAACACCACCTTAAGATAATGCCGAACCGTTTGGGCATAATAGGCAGGTGCACCATATTCAAGCGAAGTGCCGAAGTCTCCAAGGAGAATCGGTGTTGAAAGCTTCTCTCTTGTGGATCCTACGTTATTTACCAGCGACAGTTCCCTTACCATGTGAGAACCATGATAGACAGAGGAATGGCGGGAATCGTAATTGACTTACTTGGCAAAAGCGAGGTTAAGGTCATATCTACAACAGAAGTAGGTGACCATGGCCTGCAAGAAGCGTTTAACGCAGCCTACTGACCTTCAACGGTTTCGTCCACCGTCGTCAACTTTACAGAAAACATCAACAGCAACGATTGCACCCTGTCGGACAATTGAGCGATCACGCGTTTCTCACGTACCCGTCTTGTTCTATTTTTTCGTAGTGTTCATTCTACCCCGATGAAGTATTGACACCATTACCCATAGCAGCCATGTGGCATTGAAATCAATCAAAAAGTTGGGCCAGTCAAACCACATTGGTTCAACAAGAGTACAACAAACTGGTCCGACGACGACGCAGACAATGGAACAAGTTCGTGTTATCTGGCTCTGATGAGGACTACAATGCGTACAAGGTACAGCGAAATCGCTGCAACGAGGCGAAAACAAGAAAACGCAGAAGCTTCGAAGAGGAGCTTGCAGCCGCCGCAAAAACTGCTCCCAAGAGGATCTTTGCATACGTGAAACGGCGCCTGAGGCCTGTAGCCAATGTCCCATTGTTAGAAGGCTCCGATGGGCAGCCCCTAACCTCGAGTGCAGATAGTGCGTCCGCATTGGCGACGCACTTCGCCTCCGTATTTGCAAGTGACCAGGTGTCTTTAACGAGTTCGACGAGTACCGCTCCAGCCGAACTTAACAGCCTGGACTGCAATATTGAGGATGTGCGCAAGCTTCTAGCGAATCTTAACGGGACAAAACCTGCTGGGCCAGATAGTATACACCCATTGATCCTCAAATCCTTATCGGCCATCATCGCGCCTTCTGTAACTGAATTGTTTAACAGGTCACTATCTACTGGACTGTTACCAGACGACTGGAAATGCTCAGTCCCAAAGCCTATACCGAAAGGTGGTAACCCAAGTAAAGTGGATAACTACCGGCCGATCTGCCTGACTGCTGTTTTGGCAAAAACGCTCGAGAAGATCGTGAAGAAGAACCTTCTGCAACTTCTCGAGTCGAAAAACCTGTTGACCTCCGCACAGCATGGTTTCATGAAAGGTCGCTCGTGCATCACCAACCTAATGTTGACAAGGCACGAATGGTTACAAGCGATGAATCAAGGCCATTCAGTCGATGTCATTTACATTGACTTCAGTAAGGCTTTTGACAAGGTTAACCATGCAGTGCTCCTTGACACGCTGAGGATGTACGGTGTTGGTGGTTCGTTACACAAATGGATCAGAAATTTCCTTGTGGATCAGAAGTGGAGAGTCCAGGTGGACAACCATCTAACGGACTGGTATCCATCGAGCAGCGGCGTGCCCCAAGGCACTGTACTGGGGCCGATATTGTTTCTGATCCATGTAAACTATGTGCCTAAGCTACTCCAATCATCATGTGCGTTGTTCGCAGATGACTTGAAGGTGTGGAGAGTAATCCGCGCGCTCAATGATTGTGATTTACTTCAGCAGGATCTCGACAGCCTCTCAACATGGTCTGCAGAGGTTAACCTACCGATCAACCCTGCTAAGTCGCAATTCATGAGGTTGGGTAAATGCGAGCACAGCCGAACGTACATAGTGGCTGATCAACCGCTGCATCCCGCGTCTTTCGTGCGCGACCTCGGTGTGCTCTCACGCTGGGATCTAAAGTCCATTGACAAAATGAATAGGCTGTACCAAAACAGCCTTCGGATGCTTTGGGCGCTCAGGCGCAGCTTCAGCACTTGGTCCGAAGAGATTGCCACTCGCCTCTTCGTCTCGATAATACGACCAATGATAGAGTACGGCTCTCCCGCATATTGTCTCATCACGCTGGGCGAGGTAGAAAAGCTTGAGCGGGTGCAGCATGTAGCCACTAGGCTGATTCCCAACTTACGAGGTATGCCATATGAAGACCGATGTAAGAAACTAGGGCTGTACACCCTAGCATATCGTCGGCTGAGGGTTGACCTAATCATGACGCACCGGATATTACATCTTAGTGAATACCCCATGTTGAGACAACTGCTTCATCTGCGCACACCAAGCAGCACGCGAGGACACCGGTACAAACTTATCGTACCGCAGTTGAAGCGGGTAGCTCACCAACTCTGTTTCGAACGTAGAGTGGCGAACACCTGGAACAACCTGCCGCAGCCGGTAATAGAGGCGAACTCAGTGGCCGAATTTAAGAAGCTTCTAGACAAGCACTTTGCAGAGGCAAAATATAGAGAGCGGCACGATAATTAATACGTTAATGTCCAAGAGCGACAATTGATGCAGCTACACAGAGTATGCTCTACTTGCTGCTTCTAATCAGTATCAGTATCAGTATTATAAATATATTTACATGAAGTGTGTATCAAGAGCATAAAGTCAACCAAGTAGATATTCAAAATGGCCACCGTCGTTTTGCTTGCAGAGCAGTATTCTCCCGATGCTATTGCCTAGCACTTTCTGTAAAGTGTCCACCGATATACGGCGACATTCGATAAAGATGCTCAGTTTCAGTTCCTTCAGCCTGCAGCTGTGGAATGGCACGGGTCCGGATTTATTTGTAGGAGAATTCTAGCAAATGTAAACCGTCAGTTCTGTTAATACATCAACTTACCCGCCGTAAAAGTCAAGAAAGTAGATGCTCAAAATATCCACCGTCGTTTTGCTTGCACAGCAGTACTCGCGGATGCTATTGGCTAGCTCTTCCTGCAAAGTGTCCACCGATATACCGTGACGTTCGTTGAAGATGTTCCGTTGCGGTTCCTCTAGACAGGTTGGTCTGGTTTTATACACTCGGCATTTCAAGTACCCCCATAGGAAGAAATCCAGTGGGTTCAAATCAGGAGACCACGTAGGCCAATCAGTAGGTTCTCCACGACCGATTCAGCGGTTACCAAATGTTTCGTTAAAGTAAGCACGTACCGTTTGTGCAGAATGGGCAGACACACCATCCCGATGCCACCAAACGGTACTCAATACGCCTTCTAGCTGCAGCTATGAATTGACCATGGACTTCAACATTTCTTTGTACGAAGATGCTAACCAATTTGATGTATTAGTTTTGTTAAAATATTAAGTGCCCAGTCACCTACTTGGAAAAGCAAAATGGTCCGATAATTTTTCGCCCTGTCAACCCAGCTCATACCATGAGCTGTGCACCGTGTTGCACACGCGAAGCCATACCTTGTCATGGGTTGTAGGCAGCCCAAACATACCGCTTATCCGCGCCATGCAGACGGAAAAGTGCCTAAATTAACACCAGGTTTGTGAAACATTGATTCTGTTTCTGCTATCTACTGAGTTGCAACTTCATCCAAGCCATTCCGAACTGAAGGTTTCAGCCTGGTTAGAAGCTGTGCTTAGAGTGCAGTACTAATATCGTATAACAACAACATGCCGCCATGACTCAGTTGGTTTCTGTAATCTTTTAAAACTTCGCTTTTCGGTATATGAGCCTATGTGACTGATCGCCACACTTACTGCCAAATCACATCTGAGCAATGTGTTAGCGAACGCTCTAGTGTTATTTATGTTCGCTCAGTTCTCATATATATTAACCATACCACCAGACAATGCTGGTTTTAATTCAGCTAATTCGTCGTGATCACACTCAATCAGCAGGCTTAGGCTAGTCTGGAAAAACACCAGACGACGGTGTTTCGCCCTTCTGGGTCTCGTCAGTAGTGCGCCTGCCAGCCGACCCCTGCCAGGTTCAGCCCCCATGACTTCTGGATGCCAACAGCTAATACCCCTTCGCCATGGATGAAAACCGCAGACTTGCGTGATTGACAGTTGACTATGATATAGCTCGCCGCCTCTTCCACTGCCATGCCAGTTACGATCTGTGCAGAGGACAGTGGCTAGCCTCATGAGTTAGGACTTTCCGCACAGCGCCTCGGCACGGCCCAAAGATTTGAAAGCTATACGGGCAGGTTTGTATATTAATGATGAGTAGTGAGGACGTTTGGTATAATTCAGTCAATTATCTGGTTTTACATCCATTCCCTAACAAAATTTTACTTACTTTCCACTTGGTCACTTCCAAAACCTGCACATAGGGTCTCTCGCACGGGGCTTGGTTGTGTTAGTAACCAGAGCGTCATAACATGCACACAAATACTATGTACACATAAGTTTTACCATCTAGTGATCATGGGTGTGGTGCTGTATTTTGTGTTGCTACAGTCGCATTACTTATATTTTGCCGAAGTAGCAGACGCGCACAGGAGTTTGTAACCCTTGACTCTCATGCACCAGCTTTCACCAAGAATTCTAACAATCAAGGGTTTTTTCTTTTGGGGATACTTCCTGGTAGAAATGCATCGGCTTGAGATACATGTATGTATTTAGTAAAGACTAGCTCTCTGAGCTGTTTTCGCTACACACGACCAGAATTTTTAGTTCGGTTTCTGTTAACATTAAGCATATGTGTATCTAAGCACCGGCTTCTAGTTTTCGGTAACTGAGTGGGAAGATTTCGGAGCCTTTTCCAATGGAATTTCTTCCCAAACCGAGTTCAATTTTATGTCATTTTGCTGATTTACAGGCGTCCTCGTATTGTTCACGGACCAGTCATTCTCGGTCCTTATGAAGGTACAGTGGTTTCTGGAGGAGAAGCATATTTGCAGTGCCTTGCTGAGGGCTTCCCTCCTCCCACGATACACTGGTATCGTTTACGTGACCCTCAGACAGAACTTCAACGGCTAGATCCGCGTAAATTTTTCGTAAACACAAATGCTAAAGTTGGGAAATTAAGAATAACGCAAGCAGACTTTCCAGAGGTAAGTGAGCGCGTGTCTGGTATCGCATAACATCATTTAATCGAACACACAACTTACTTTCAGACAGTTAGCTAGTTAATCTACATGAATACCACAGTTAACTCATTACTTAATTAATTGTTCTTCATGCCTAATCGCTAGTTCCTAAAGTCTTGTCTTATGCTCAGATAATGTTAGCGAACTGCCGCCTTGGCGAGAACGTATGTTGCCAGGATATGCGTCGCAAATTCGTGGGTTGGAAATATGGTAAGCTAAGTGAATAGTCAATAGGAAATAGTCAACAAGTCGAGGAATATGATGTTGTTTATATTATTGAAATTTATAGCCGCGATAACATAAACGGTCATAGTAATGATAGCAATAGTGCTCACCATACATGAAGCTACCTCAATAGATATCACATATAACATCTGCACAGACTGCATCTTACTTTTGTATGAGTAATACTTGGTTTGCCCTGCCTGTGCATATTTCTGGCCACACACATGGCTCATAGATTTAGGTTTTACCCCAAATCAAATGGCACTATGGTGGGGTTCGAGAATATTGCAAGCATTCAGGGTTATTTACCGTACGTACATTTCTCCTACTCCACGCGCGAAATGTTATCAAGTCTCTCCGGAAAAAGTTCACCAGGCGATTGCCCTCATTAGCATAAGGACGTAATCAGGCTTAGATCAAAGTAACTTTCTAGCTTATTACGAAATTCTGTTGCGACCTCACACAAGCTTATTGTGATTGGGAGCCTAGTACGCAGAACGGTCCACTTGACTATAAGGAAGTTATATTGCATATTTGTCCTTCAGCTTAGTTTAACTAACATTCGTCCCTTATTACTTGGCTACCGGGTAGAATAGTATCGTAATTCCAACCTAGGCAAATAAGCATAACTTTTCCGTTGAAACAGATTGCACAGCTGCATCAAGTTATGCTTTTTTGTGCGTAGCCAAACCAACTCGACCTCACACTGTTGGCCCCGTTCAAAATAGTTCTTCTTGGAATTCTTTCCCACTAAGAGTTTAGTTTAGTAATTATCGCAACGAGACTGGACCTTAACGTGACGCGATGGTTTGTGTGCCTCAATGATCCATTGAGCTATGCCGGGTGGTGTCTTTTTGCACCTTCAGATCCACTCGTACCAGATTGGTCAATGGCTGGTGTTGTGTCGCTGATGATGCCTTCACCTCACAACCGCAAGAAGAAGTCCAAAGACGAGCCAGAAGGAGACTTGTATACATGAAATCACAGTTGCTTATATAGTTTGAAGGCAAAATGAAGGGAAGCTACTAAAGTACACTTGAGCCAACCAACTGAAGGAAAAACGTAAAATGCAACGGCGAATAAGCAACCGTGTATGTAAGAGCGAATCGCGTAAGTCCCTAAAAATAGCATCATTGGACTCCAAGCGTAAAGCGAACGACCATTTACAGTGACGGGCACTGGCCAATCAGAATGACGAAATGAAACGTTTAAACAAAAGTCACGAAACAACCGCGAATAAGGAATGCAGACCCAAAAGTTGAAAACTAGTACAATAATTGTGTGACACTAAATATTCCTTTAACATAACCAAGTAGAACAGTAATGAGAAGAAAAAACCAATAGAATATGTTCTTGCAAACAGCGCTGCTGAGAAAGGCATGACGAGGAGCGTCCATTAACAATGACTCGGATGTACCAATCGGGCGAACCCAGTAGAGCGTTTAAACAACAGTCAAGAAACAGAAAATATGAAGAGTAAAGAATAGCTATCAAGCACGGTGACAATAAATGAATGTTTAATAGCTGTTCTCCTAATACCTCCCTCTCTTTAAAAAAAGGGGTTACCTGGTGTTCACATAGGTCTTTCGACGCGGATCCACTTGAAGGGACTACACGAATCTTCTTGTTCTCTTTGGCCTGTGGCGAGCGCCATTTTCCATGCATTCTACTGGACTAACGTCACCACCTGCAGGAGTACTAGGCTTGTCGGTGTCCAGCAATTCATTGACGTCAAGTCCGTTGGCTTTCGGAACGGCGGCACCATGTGTATAACGTGGCCTCAACTGATTTACGTGGCGTCTCCACACCTGTGTACCCACTTGAACATCATACATCACGTTGCCTCGGCGCCGCAGGACTCGTCCTGGCATCCATGCGATCTGCCGTCCTCGATTCGCAGCTGCAAACACAAGATCGCCCACTTTGAAAATCCTTTTTCTTGCACCATACCGCCTGTTGTACTGACGCTCCATCACTGAATTCCGTAGTTGTAGAGACGGGCGCTTGGGGTTCAGCAAATCTAGTGTGGTTCTCAACCTTCGACCCACAAGTGCTTCAGCTGGTGATTTGCCATCTGGTGCATTAGGATTCGTGGTAACTCTATAGTTCAACAGGAAACGTTCCAATCTTTCGTTCAACGATCCCTCCTCTTTTGACTTCCACAATGCTCGTTTCAGGGTATCCACAAATCTTTCCGCTTGGCCATTAGACTGCGGATGATACGGGGCCGTCCTCACATGCTCGATCCCATTCTGTGCACAAAATGCAGCAAATTGACAGGATGTAAACTGTGCCCCGTTATCTGACACGACTGTTACTGGCAATCCGTGCTGACTGAAGACATGTCTCATCGCAATAATTGTGCTGTTGGCCGACGTGTTTTGCATAGTGATTACCTCCGGCCATTTACTGTAGGCGTCAATAATAACGAGGAAATGCACTCCTTCGACCGGTCCTGCGAAATCTACGTGTATGCGCGACCAGGGCGATTCAGGGTTTGGCCAAGCTTGTAATGTAGAACGTACCGGTAACTTGGAGGCACTGATGTATCTGGAGCACGATCGGCCAATATCTTCAATTTGGCTATCCATCATGGGCCAAAAAACGTAGCTGCGCGCAAGCGCCTTCATGCGAGCGATTCCTGGATGGCTCTTGTGCAGTTGCCGTAACACGCGTGACCTGAGTATATCTGGAATGATAATGCGATCTGCAAAAAACAGACAGGAATCAACTTCAGACAAAGAGTTGCGTCGTGTGAAAAACTGTGTCAGTGCTTCTTTAGGGCACTTCTTTGGCCAGCCCCGTCTTGTGTAGGTTAATACATCTTGCAGCAATGCATCCTGTTCAGTGGCTTGCTTCACCATTGTGCCAGTGACCGGTAAATTACTCACGGCGTCATATACCATGCAGCTGACATCCGTTTCGGCTGCGATGGAGGCAATGACTGCGTCTTCTGACTCACGCTTACCGGTATCGATTAATCTGGAAAGGGCGTCCGCTTGCCTTATAGAATCCGTAGACAAGTATCGCATGCTGAAATCATAACCCAAGAGCAGAGTTGCCTATCGCTGAAGTCGACTGGCCGTATATGCTGGAATCCCCTTTTTGGATCCAAAAATTGCCAGAAGCGGTTTATGATCAGTCACCAACGTGAACCGTCGACCATATACCATGTTATGGAATTTCTGCACTGCAAAGATGATAGCCAACGCCTCTTTCTCAATCTGACTATAATTCTTTTCGGAAGCCGTCAGGGCCCGTGCAACATGTGCTATAGACTTTTCGGATCCATCTGGAAAACGATGTGAAATGACAGCACCAATTCCATAGCTTGAAGCATCCGTGGCAACAATAATCTCCAGCTTCGGGTTATAATGCGTAAGCAGTAAGTCCGACTTCAGCAGAGATTTCAGTTTCTCGAACGACTGTTGACACTGTGCAGACCATTTCCATTCGACGTCTTTCATCAGCAGATGGTTTAGAGGATGCCGCAAGCGATGCATGCATGGTAGAAATTCACTATAGTGACTCACCATCCCAAGGAATGACTGTAAAGTTGTGACATCTGATGGCGCCGGTAACCGGTCTATCACCACTATATTTTCGGGATCGGGTCGTCGGCCGTTCTCGTTAATTACGAAACCCAGGAATTTAATTGACTTCAGGAAAAATTTGCACTTGTCCGCTCGTAATCGGAAACCGTAATCTTTGATTCTTTTTAGCACGTCATCCAATCGTTGAAATAGCTCATCTTGCGTCGATCCCATTATTATGATGTCATCCAGGTAGGCTGCCGCTCCGGTTACACCCGTCAGCATGGCATCCATGACTTACTGAAAGACTGCCGGTGCCATTTTGACTCCAAATGGCAAACGGTTGTACTGGTAGAGACCGCGATGCGTGTAGATTGTTAGCAGCTTTCTGCTTTCGGGTTCAACTTCTAACTGCAAACAGGCGTCTGCCAGATCCAGAGTAGAAAAATACTTGCCTCCGTTCAGTTTTGCAAACACGTCCTCAGGGAGTGGAAGCGGATACTGATGGGGTTCCAGTGCAGCATTCAGGCCCGTTGAAAAATCTGCACACAAACGAATAGAACCGTTCGGTTTCCTGATCACAACAATAGGCGCAGCCCGCGGTGAAAAATAGACTCGCTCGATCACTCCGGCCTGCTGCAATCGATCAAGTTCCTGTTCAACAAGTGCTTGGGAAGCATAAGGGACAGGACGTCTGGGTCGAAACACTGGTCTGGCATCTGGAAGCAGAGTAAGTTTTGCTTGCATTTTTTTTACAGTGCCCAAGTTCCGACTGGAATACACACGCATACTTCGTTTGAAGCTGTTCAGAGATGCTTTGACCCGGAGGAGTCGGTATGGCTGTATGGTGCACCGTGACATTCCTTTCAGCACAGACACGATTCAGTGGTACATTAAACAAGTTCAGCTTTTCACTCCAGTCGATTCCGAGAAGATTGACGTCGGTGCATGAGACTAGGTAGATTGTGCCGCGAAGTTGTAGTTCCTTGAAGTTGACCTCACATCCAATCTCTCCATCCAATCTCAGCGGTTCCCCGGATGCATTCTGAGTCGTTAGTGTTTTGCGCTTGAATGCCGGTCTTCCAAGCTTCCTCCAAGTGGATCGCGAAATGATTGTGATGTCGGACGCCGTATCTAGTTGCAAGGTGACTGGAATACCATTGACTTTTACTGTTAAGTACTTTCTCTTGCCCGCGAATTCCGTGC